ATAGTGATCCATAGAGACTCATGACTGGCTAAGGTTGAGAGAATAGGACTGTAGACTCTTCAGCCTCAACTAGGTCATATATAAATCACATCCCTTGTCCCAGGGCTCAGGCGCCATCACACAAAAGAAAGCAGCAGAGTGTAAGAGGCAGAGGCAGTGGATGGCCATAAACAACCAGTGTCTTCTGACAGTATGTGACAGATTCATATATGAACTCACAGTGGCTGTGACAGCATGTGCAGAATGTGTGCAACCTCAAGCCAGCCCAAATTCCAGCATGGAGATGAACATGTGCAAGAAGTCCCTCCCACCCATAGCCAAGGAATGACTAGAGATTGACAGCTGCTAGAAGAGGGAAAGTCAGGGTTGTTTGTTGTTTGTTTGTTGGCTGGTTTTTTTTTTTTTTTTTGAGAGTATTATTCCTGGTAAGTCAACCATGCTCCAGGGGAAGGCCACACATACAAGAACATATAGACAGCACTAATTGAACTTAATGAGTGTCTAAAGAAAAAAGAAACAAAGTTGGCTGGGTATTAAAGAGGAGGATCTTGAGGAGTTGGAGGATCAACATCAAATATGATAATAACACATTGCATGAAATCCTCAAGGAACCGATAATTCTTTTCTGAGACAAAAGAACGCCACTGCTACCGATAAGTCGATAGAATGAGGATGTAGCAGATGGTGTCATATTTGTCCTGAATGTATGACTTCCTAGATTTAGTCCCCAGCACTATAGGGACAGAACATAGTTGCACGTGTCTGTCATCTCAGCACTGGGGAGGACAAGGATGGAGGAGCAGAACTTCAAAGCCAGCCTCAGCTATGTAGCAAGTTTGAAGCAAGTGTGGGCTGCACAAGACTCTGTTTCAAGTGATGTTAATAACAATAGGTCTATATTAGGAACACCCTTTAATAGTCACTTTTCCTTCAATTAAGTAGGCTATGCTATTGGAGACCCTGGCAATTGGACATTTAGATCAACACACCAGGCCCTTCTCTTGCATCTGGCTGCCTTGGCTAGGGAGATATTGTCCAAGCAGCTCTATTGGCAACTGACTGACCTGTCATGGCATCTGGGCTGCCTCGGTAATTTCATGGATGGAAATTCCACTCTGGCTGCAAGGAACACTGCAGCTATAGCTTCTGCTTCACAAACTTCTGCTCCAGAAGACCTTGCCCTAGCTACAGTGTTTCAGTCTACATTAGGGACAGAAAACTTCCTATCAGGTCACACCTCCTAGTAGTGGAGCCTACTATGGCTGCAGAAGACCCCGCCTTTGACCTGCTATAATAGCAGTCTTCAGCAATGTCTGGGATGAAGAAGGGCTGCTCTAGCAAATAGTGTGTGAGTAACTAAAGCCTTGTGACTGGTGGAATTGGAAGTGGGCATGTGGCAGGCTGTGTGACTGATGGGTTTATACGCCAAGCATAAGTGTGCCACACCCTTCTTCTGGCTAGATAAACAGGCTGCTTGCCTCTCTTCTGGGGTTAGCCTGAGAGACTTCTCCCTTGCACACTAACACCTGCCCCCCACCTCCACAGTTTACCAAATGTCTTAGCACTGTACGGGCTTCTGCTTTGCATATTTGTTGTCATTACTGTGAATAGAGTGGCTGCGATGATTGCATGAGGAGTGGGCAAAAATCAGGGGCTTGCAGCCCTAGGGTAGGAGTAGCAGCAATGATTTCCATGAACTTCATTGTGCCACTCCCACTGCCAACTAGCTCTGGGGTGCAAGGTGTTTGGCCATTTCAGATTAACCCTTTAATTTCCCCTCATTCTCTTTATGCACACATCACCCTTGTGAGCTCACAGCAGTTTGATTTCTCTGCATGTGACAGGCCCCTGTGGCTGCAGCCATGGCCTTTGTCACCTGGAATCTAACTCTCTGACTCGGACTGTGGGCAGGGAGCCATTGAAGATTGTGCTTTCCAAGCGGAAAGGAAGCAGCAGGGCTCTGTGTGGTTATTACAAATTACATCTTCACTTTCCTGGAGGGTGTGTCCACTAACCACTGCCTTGGTTTTCCAGAGGCAGCTAGTGGACACACCCACCCGTGCCACATTTCTGAATGGGACTGAGGCAGCAGGCTAACTGACTTTGATGATGGCTGGAAATTCCTGACTGGTTTTACCTGGAAAGTTTAGGTAAGATTTCTTTAGAACCTTAAGTAGTGTCATAGTTATGGATTCCCATGGGTGCCCTGGGTCCCTAAGATGTCACTCTGTTCCGTTTATTCTGTGGAGGGTCTCTGAGACCATCTCATCACATCTTTGGGAATAGTTGTACACTGTTCATGCAAACTTTATTGCTTCAAATGTAAATCCAAAGGTCTTATGTATTTTAAGGCAAACTTCTTTCATTGAAAATGCTATGTGATTCCTTTTAAAATTTTATCTATTTATCTTATGCATATAGGTATTTTGCATGTATATCTGTGCACCATATGTATCCCTGGTGTCTGTGGAGGCTCAGAAGGTGTCTTCTCTCCTGGATGGTTGTGAGCCATCATGTGGACTCTGGGAATCAAATGTGGGTTCACCAGTTCTCTTCACTGCTGAGCCCTATCTCCGGCCCCAAATGCTATGTAAGTCTTCTAAAAATTAATGCCACCTTTGAATTACTGGGCCCTTTTTGAGTTAAAGACTGACTTCATAACACACACACACACACACAAACACACCTGTGTTCTTTCAAATTAAATAATACATTTTTTTCTGTTCTTTGAACATATCCAAAATGAATGTCTTTCACGTTCAAGCCTTCTATTTGTAAGTAATGATCCAAGAATATGTGGACGCATATACAGATTTTTTTTTTTACTTTAAAAAAATCAACAGTATTCAACTTTGGTTATATATTAAATGACGTATTGTGCTCAAGGAAGGCTAATGAAAAAATAAGGATGTTATCACATTAGTAGATTCATCAAACACATCACATTATCCTACTGAAATGGCTGGTGGCTTGCCAAGCCTGTTTCTTTCCCCTGACAAACAGGTATCCCTGAACACATTTCTCAGCCCCTCTGCCTGCCAGGTATGGGTTTGTCCCCACATTCTGGCACACAGAATAGCAGTGGGAACGTGTACCTTCTGCCTGTGTAACCTTCCTCTGGGGGTAATCTCATGAACATCTGTAACTGTTAGGTACAAGTAAGATTTGTACTTCTAAGATTTGGATATTTATTAACCATGGTGGCTAGTTTATTGTTAACTAATATTGATAGAGAGACACATTTAGTAACACTTTCACCTATCATGAGTTTTTTGGGGGGAAATTTGTAAGACAGATTAGTATTTTTGAAAATTGATTTATTTTACTCAATCATGCCTAATTTATTATAGAATAGACACTTTTGAGGGGCTTTATGAGATAGTCTCTTTACATAGGCCTGGCTGTCCTGGATCTATATAGACCAGGCTGAACTTGAACTCACAGAGATTTGCCTCTGCCTCCTGAGTGCTGGGATTAAAATTATGTGCCACAAACCTGGCCTAATAGACACTATTAAAAATTTACATGTATGTATTTTATGAGTATGGTTGTTTTGCCATACGTATGCCTAGGTATCACCTGCATTTCAGGTGCCCACAGAGGACACAAAGTGGCATGAGATCCCCTGGAACTGGAGTTAGGGATGGCTGTGGGTGCTGGGAATCGAAACCAGGTCCCGCTAAGAACAAGTGCTCTTAACTTCTGAACCATCTCTCCAGCCCTCGAGATACTAAAAGGGTTTGTGGAAGGCCAGGCATGGTGGTATGGGCCTGTGATCCTAGCTCTCAGGAGGGAGAGGCAGAATGCAATCCTGAGGCTAGCCTGGAGTCCAGAGTACAACATATGCCATCTTAGGCCAGTGAGCCTGTCTCAAAACAAACAAGTCCACAGGGTAAGAACAGTAAGTAACTCTCTTCCTCCAAAGCACTTTCGTTTGCTTCTGCCTGCTGCATGAGGGTTCCTCATGCAGAACTACCGTAATCCAGTGCCGGAGCGGGAGCTGGAGCCAGAAGCCTTTCCTAGCCCAACCAGAGAGTGAGAAGTCATCGTTTTCAGCCTGCCGAGGTCACGACTCTACATTTATGGCAGGTACTGGCCCTTTTCTCTTTGTCACAAGGTCCACGTCTCATCAGCCAATGGCCCCAGACAAAAGCTGCAAACACTGGCGTTGGGGACAGGAATTCCCTTTCTCCAAGCCTTCCCCTGGCAATTCCTCTCTACTTCATCTGCTTTTTAGCATCTGGAAAGCAATATTTCTTCACTGCATCACTTTACTGGGGAGCTTTGTTCAAATGACCTAATCCGCTAGTGGAAACACACACACGGGGCCCTGGCTGCCTCTGCAGGTCTCCTATCGTCTCTAACATGTTATAGAAAACATGATAATGTAACTTATGGGAAAGAACTGTTGTAGAATATTACTTTAGGCAAAGCTGTGTTACATTTGTTTATGCTGCACTTGTTTAATGAAGTAAAGGTGTGCGGTTTGCCTGCCTGAGGAACTGGACTGGTCTAACAAAAAGCTGAGCAGCCAATAGCTAGGTAATAGAGAGTTAGGCGGGGCTGGCTGGCAGAGAGGAGAGAATGAGGGAGAAAGAGAGGGAGGAACCCAGGGCCAGCCATCTAGGCGGCCACCAGCCAGCCAGACATGGAATAGGACACACAGAATAAAAGAAAGGTAAAAAGCTCCAAGGCAAAATGTAGATGAAGAGAGACAGGTTAATTAAAGTTAAAAAAAAAAAAAAAGTTAGCTAGAAAGCCTAAGCTAAGACTGGGCATTTAGAACTAGTAATAAGTCTCTGTGTCATGATTTGGGAGCTGGCTGGTGGCCTAAAAGAAAGCCTTCTACAAGAAACTGACAAAATATAACAGTCCCAATTGTCTTTCCCTTCCTCAGTTAAAAGAAGCGTCTGATTTTTCTAGCTATGCCATCATAAATCTGAAAAAAGAAAAAAATCACACTATTTCCTGTGTCAATATCTCACCATATGACACAATCCTTTATACAAAGAGAATTTTATTGATGAAAAGGTCACACAAAAAAGTTCTTGTGTACAAAGTTTACAAATGTGGAAAAGTTAGTATTTATGACATTTTCCATACAGTACATGATAATTTTAACTTAAAATTTAGCAGAAGATCCAACAGGCCCAAAGCATCCAAGAAAACATTGCTCAAAAAATAATACTTAATAAGAAACAAAATTAAAGGGTTTCCTTAATCTCTTTATGTGTGTTGTTCAAACTACATTTGTTTATCCAGGTTACATTTCCCCCATCTGAATCTCTACTGTGGTCAGCACACTTGCTTTTGAACGTTTAGGTATAGACATGACTTTTGCATAGCATCTGAAAAAGATACAATGTGTCTGTAGTATTCTAAAAAAAATTGAAGTTTAAATTAAAAAAAAGAGAGAGAAAGCTGGGTGTGGTGGCTGAAGCCTTCACTTGGGAGACAGAGGCAGGCAGCACTCTGAGTTCAAGGCCATCCTGGTTTACTGAGTTCCAGGACAGCTAGAAAGAGCTACCTAGTAAGATCCTGTCTCAAAAAAAAAAAAAAAAAAAAAAAAAGATTAAAAAAAGTATGAGCAATGAGGAACTATAAATATAAATGGCCATAAGGCCATAATTCAACCTTGAGGGGTCATGAAACTTTAAAAAGTAAAAGAGGAACTCAATAGATTGGCATAATTTATAGACTGACATTTCCCCTGCCAATTTAAGATGCAGAAGGCAAGGAGGCAGGACAATCAAGGAGGACTCTATCTCCACAGGCTTCTCCTTTCAGAGTCCTGTGAGATCTTCAGATGTCAACATGTGTAAAACTCACGAATACAGAGGTCAGGCTTCGAAAGCTGAATGCTTCATCAAACCTATCAGTATAATACCTGTTCTTTGTACTACAAAGAATGCTGTTTTACAAGTTTCTTAAAAATTCAGTGTAACAGCTACCATAGTAGCAAAGTAGCTAAAATATTAGAATAACATCAGAAAAATATTTTAATCAATTTTCCAGGATTTTCAAAAATGTTCAAATACATGAGTGTATTTTTACATACACATATTGTGTGTGTGTAATGTGTGTGTGTAAAAGTACAATGTTAAGTTTTAAATACTTCAGCAAAGAAAAATCCTGGTTCTATATCAAAAGAGTGGGACAGCATAAAATATCTTAAAATACTTTAATGAAAGAATCTTCATAAATAGAAAGAAGATTCCTCTAATGCCTCCCCACCCCCCACAGTTTAAAGATATTATTAACCTGGATATTTCTGCTTTTTCAGGTATAAATGCATTGTATTATTCTTGAAGCCTGTTCTTCCTCCAGTATAACAGTAGACAAAGAGCCAGGTGGTGGAGGTGTACACCTTTAATCCCAGCACTCAGGAGGCAGAGGCAGGCGGATCTTTCTGGTCCACAGAGTGAGTTCCAGGACAGCCAGGGCTACAAAAAGAATCCCTGTCTCAAAACAAACAAACAAACAAACAAACACACAAACAAACACTAGACAGTAGACAAAGCTGGTTCACAAAAAAAAGAGTGTAACAGTGATTTTTCTTTTTGCAGTGCTGGGTGATGAACTCAGGTCCTCAGGTATTCTGGGTGAGTGACCACTTTCCCAGCTCAACAGTATCTTTAAAAGACAAATGCATTGTCATCTCCAGTGTAATACGAATTTGCTTCCGGACGAGATAAAATGTTTCTTCATGTGTCCGAATGGCCGGTAGAACCCTGCTCTCTCCTAACTCCACAGGCTGGGTGAGCGAGCAGAGATGAGGAACCTTTGGGGCTGCTCGGTTCTGAAGAACTGGGGACCTGCAGATTGCTGCACTTCACCAGGCCGGTTTCAGTGAGGTCACTCTTTGGACTTACCCTAGGAAGAAAGAAGTTGACATGCACACAAGCAGAAGCACAAAGAGATGTCAGCCATACTTCTGACCTCATCCACTAAAGCTCGTGGTAACACTTCAAATCACAATCCAGACACAGCCTTTGCTGACTTCAGCCACTCTACCCAGTGCTGTCCTGTATGGCCTCGCATGCTCTTACAGGGAACACAGTCCCTGCTCCCAGCTTTCTGATTCCCCAGCAGTGTTAAAATGCACTGTGAGATTTTACAAATACAAAGATGACCAAGACAGCTCAAGTACAGTGGAGGGTAAAGCAGCTAGCTAGTTATAGCCAGGTAAATGGAAGCATCATGGGAACAAAGTATACTCAGCCCTGTCTGAAAGGGCTTAGGTAGCATGACCTTGAGAGCTCGCTGTAGTTAGCGGTCAACATCCTGGGGAGAAAAATAAAACAACAAAAAACACAACCAACCCTGTGTTTCCATCACTTTTGGCCACTGGGAAAAATCCACCATATTTTTTCATGTTCAGAAACTAAAAACATTTTATAATTATCTTTGTATAAAATATCACCTTAGGTACAGAATGATAATGTGTTTTGTTTCCCTGAGATGTTTCTTTCTTGCTAGTATTACAGCCTGGGCTGTCCTTGGACTTGTTACCCAGGTTTGCCTCAAGTTCATGACCCTCATATCTCTGGTTCCCGGTGCTGGAATTACAGGCATGTAACGGCCATGCTCGGTTATGACGTATGACGTTAATCTGGCCTTTGTACTTCAGGTGCACTTTAAACACTTACCTGAATGTCAACTGACTCATAACAATTATCTTAAGAAACGAATACCACTCTCCGACTTGAGCACATATATTAAGGCTCCCTTTATGGCTAAGAACTAAACTATTGTGTAGCCTATTTACTGGCTGCAACCAAACTTCCTTGAATTAATAGGATAGGTATTTCACTATAAAATGTCTTCGTTCCAGATGCTACGGTACGTGCCAATAAAAGATGAGCAATGTTGTATTTCAGATGGCGACAACTTCAGACAACACAGCTATTCTCACCTTCCTTCACTCGGAGCCGCATCCGACACGCTGGTTTTTTCCTTCACACTGCCAGCTCGGCCTTTCCTGCCGCTCTGTTCCCCGGAGAGCTTGGAACTGGACGCTGCTGAGGAAGCCGGTTCCCCGCAGTCCTGCTCCTTTGCTCTGTCTGCTCTCACCTCTTTCATGGATGCATCTGGGGAGGTTTGGATTTCTGTGGAAGTTTCTTGTCCTAAGTAGTCATGATCGGCGATGGCCACGGCAGAGGTGCCGTGATCTGCTGTGGCTCCCGTACTGGTCCCCATGGACTTGGAAATGACCTTCAGCTTGTGTGACCCTGCTTTGTAGTGCTTCTTCTTGTGTTTCACTTTAGAGTTGTGCTTGAGGAAAAACTCGCAGGACTCTTGCAGCACTCTCCGGCTTTCACTCATGGGGCTGCGGGAAAAGCCAGGGGAGAATTTGCTCACTCCATCATGTTATAGCGGACTCTTAGAAGTCACAAGGTCTATACGGACTGTTATAAAACCTGCGATTCCTAGACTGTGAAACCTTTTTTGCAAACACCTCCTTTTCTTTTGCTAACAGAGGCAACATACTGGTGAGAAATTAAACAGCCAAAAGTCAAAGACTGAAGGCAAGGAAATACTAATCAGCCCAATGGCACCGACTGTATTCATGTCACACAGAAATAGGCTAAATATACTGGTGAGCCAGAAGAAAGAGGACACAGAATAACCAATGACTTCTGTTTTCTAACATTAAAGTCAAAAAGTTACAGTAAAGTTAATATGGGTACATAAATATAAGATACACACAGATAACAATGAAAATAACAAAGCCTAGTTAATTGTAATTTTCAGCCTTCAAAAATTATGTGAAAAATGAAAAAGCACACAGTTCTGAAATAAAATATTTTGGAGACAGGGTCTTGCCATCCAAGTGAGCCTCTGACTTACCATCTTCCTGCCTCTAGCCACGTGTGGGGGCTACTGGTAGGCCCTGTTTGTCCAGCTCTACAGCTACAAAGACTGTACCACAAGGAGTCTGATAACCAGTGGGAAATAAATAAAAATAAAATCTACAGCACATTAGATACAATATATGTAAAGAACCAAAATGAACTATATACTCCTAAGTATGTACTGATATTACAGAAAGTTCTGTGGGTTTGAATTGTTATCACTTTAGGTAAACTCATCAGTATTTTCGTCTGTTTACTTTCAAACAATCTTAAGACATCAGCCATGCTTACTCTCGTTTGCGGTTTCGTTTAAAGAAACCGGCCCACTCTGTGCATGTCTTTTTGCTTCCAACCCAGAAGACTGCAGAGATGCCAACAATTAATGTCATCAGGTATTTTATCATAAATAAAGCCAGGTCTGGTCGAGCTTCTGGGTTTGCCTACAAAAATAAAATAAAAAATAAAGAAAAATCTGCATTGTTAGAGTAAAGTTGGAGCAAGTTATAAATCTTTAGTCTGTTTGAAGTAAATAATATGAGGAATAACATTTTAAGACCAACACTTTTTTTATGATGTTCTGAACAAAGAACTTTTGTTGTTGTTGTTGTTTTGAGATAGTGTCCATATGCATACGTGCAGGCACACACCTCATATACACACACACACAAAAAAAAAAAGATTAAAAAACATTTAAAATCTTGTTTTCTAGTCCTTCTGTATCAATGCACATGTTATTAAAATTTGTTTGGCTACCACAAAGTGAATATTATTAAGATGTGAAAATGTAGACATTTCATAAAAATGAAATCATACTTTTGTTTGTTTGCTTTTGTTTTTTGAGATAGGATTTCTCTGTGTAGTTTTGGAGCCTGTCCTGGCACTCGCTCTGTAGACCAGGCTGGCCTTGAACTCACAGAGATCTGCCAGCCTCTGCCTCCCTAGTGCTGGGATTAAAGGCATGCACTACCACCATCCTGGCTTGCACACATTTTCAAATGCTATTGTAAGTGTCCAAGTATAAAAGTATTACACAGATTGCATTGTATCTTGTATCTTGTCTTTTTGTGTTGATTAATATGCTTAGGAGCCCCACCCACATCGGCACAAAGCTTTGCTTTTCAAAGCTTGTTCTTTTTGTGAGTTCTGCCTTCCTCAACCAGCCCCTATTTAAATGTATTTAGGTTACTTCCAACTGCAGAAGATGCTGCACTGCTCATCCTTGTATTATTTAAAGTGATTCTTCGGGAGGAAGGACAGGAAGAAACGGGAGGGGAGGGAGGGATGGGTCAGAGGGAGAAAGAGAGGTTCGAAAAGGAGAGCAGCCAGGTTCAGGGTACGTATGCTATGAAAGTTGTCTACCACTAAGCAACAACTCCAGCCAGATAAAACCTAGTTTACTTTACTTAATTTATTTGAGACAGAGTCTTACTACATTGCCCAGGCTGACTCCAAACTCAACAATTCTTCTACCTCAACCACCTATGTAAATAGGCACACTGTATACTGCTAAAATTTATTTCAATTTTTGTTCAAAACCTCAACTGAAATGCTTTAAGAAATTATATGTTTTCAGGAATTTACAAATTTTTTTCATTTTAAAAAATAGTACCTTATACTAATCATAAGCATCAGAGACTCATGAAACATATTTTCAATTGTGTTTTTTCTCAGTTAAGAATGACAGGATGGGCTGAGCAAAAACCAATTTCTATTTTTAGGAGCATACACTGCACAAAAGGTTAAACCCAAACATAGGGTTTTCCTACTAATAGAGGAACAGGGGAAAGAAAAAAAAAAAACTCTCTAATTCAGTAGAATTCACTTTTCCTTTTATCTCTCTTATGAGGCCTATTCTTCATAATCGTTAATCTGATGTTATAACTCAATTTAATTGTTGTTTTCAATTTAATGCTTAAAAAAGCTACAGGAGACTTCCTATATTACTACTACTACTACTATTATTTTGGTTGTTTGAGACAGGGTTTCTCTGTGTAGCTTTGGATCCTGTCCTGTAATTTGCTCTGTAGACCAGGCTGGCCTTGAACTCACAGAGATTCTCCTGCCTCTGCCTCCCGGGTGCTGGGATTAAAGGTGTGTGGAATCCCAGCCCCAAGGAGACTCGCTGTACTTTAACTAACTAGAGCTGCTGCTTGAGGAATGAACTCTTAGCATGTCACCCAGTCTGACCGGTGCACAGGGAATGACTCCCTATGTCTGTTAGGGCTTCTCAAACTGAAGTCTAATTTTCCGACCATGACTAATACAAATGCATTTCCAGGAACATGATCCAAATGATCACTCCTACCTGAAAAGGACATGGGATGCGGTACTGGCGACAATGATCAGAGAACCAAGTTATCTCCCAGGTGATCCTGTTCACTAGCTCGTAGACATAGCAACCAAGAAGGGTCACTAAGGGCACAAGGTACAGGCCACTGAAGACTCCAATTCGAATCATGAACTTCTTCAGTTTCTCTTGGTTTCGGCCATCATGTTGTATAACTTGTCGAACATGGTTTAAGGAAATGATGCCAGCTAGGAGGAGAGACAGCCCCACAAACACGCAGAGGCCCAGAGGCAAGAGGACGAAGTATCGAGAGGCGTCCAGGTCATAAAGGCCAACGAAGCATACTCCGCTAATATTATCCCCCTCAACTTTGTTCATAGCAAGCAGCATGACAGTTAAAAAGCCAGGCATTCCCCAGGCAACCGCGTGGAACCACACTGCTTTTTGTTCAATGGCTTCACAGCTCCATTTTCTTCCTGCAGCCAAAAACCAAGTGATGGTGAGAATGACCCACCACACGGTGCCAGCCATTGTGAAAAAATACAAAAACATAAATACCACGCTGCAAGCCTTGTTCTTTGATCCCAGAACGACCGTGTCCCCGAGCTCCAGCTTCTCGTCTGCCTTATTGCAAGCTGTGCTATTGCCCAGCAGAAACCCAACAAAGTACATGAGAGAAACAATGCTGTAACAGACAGAGTAGTATATAATTGGTCTCTCTGGGTACCTGAATCTTCTAACATCAATTAAAAAGGTAAGAAATGTGAACAGAGTTGCACAAAGACAAAATATTGAAACTATCCCTATGAAACTTTTGGCAAAGTCTAGCTCATCAGTTTTAAAATACATGTTGGGGCATGGAGGGGCACAGTGGTCAATGCCCAGAAATTTATAGCCTTGCTCTCCTGAAGCCTTAAGATGCTTTGGACACCAAAAGCCAATGTCTCTTGGGACTTGTTCTGTTTTCCTCTGAGGACCAAAGAGCTCTGTGTGTGGATCAGGAGTTACAGGAACAGTGTCATCACAGTGTGGCAATCTGTAAAGATCACAAAAACTCAATATATGAGGTCATCAACTCTTAAATCTTTAAAAAGTATTTTCATTAATTCTTCAGAATTTTATACATGCATACAATGTATTCTGATCATATTCACCTCTCTGTCCCCCTTAGTCCTCTCAGATCCACCCCAACCCCACTTTCTCTTATGCTTTCCAAGTATAAGTCATGGCACTGTTGCATTCATAGTTGATGGGAGACATGCAAAGCTGAGTGATTATCTTTAGGGATGGGTAGGGTTTTCAAACTGACTAAAAACTGTGGTTGTTCATGAAGTCTTAGCTCACTTAAATATAACAACAAGAAGACAGGAAACCATAAAAATCTACTTCCTTGGAAAATAATTAGTCAAGTCATAATTTTAAATATTGTCTGCCTTTAAGACTGAACATTTAAGAGAAAATATAACTTACATAATTTGGTAATTTCCAGACAAAGTACTGACTTGCCTAATTATAGTGTATGAAATATAAATACCAAGGAAATGGGCCTTTCTTTATTTTCAGAGGTGTGGGCCTGAGTGTGAGACTTTGTACACGCTGGACAATGTGATTGTGAGACTCTGCACACACTGGGCAAGAGCTCTTTTCGCTGAGCTCTTCACCAGCCCTTCTCTACTTTCTTTTCTAATGTTCACAGCAATGCCTGATTAATCATGTGACCAAGGGGAATAAAAGTAGGATGGCTAAGAAGAATGACAGGGTAGAGCTTACATTCTTAAAAGAAGGACAAGACAACCATCAAGACACAGGTTAAGGACCAGCTTGACTCACATCACCATTTTGATTGGCTGTTTGCCTCTTTGCTTGTGGACAATTTGAGCAACACACACATATGTCTCTTCTGTGCAGATCTGTACCACTGAGTTGAATTTGGATACACTGGTATTATTTTTGAAGGGTTTATATGGTTTAAAAACAATGAGAATGCATTCAAGATATAACAGACTAAGATTAAAGTAGAGAATAAGGCTGGAGGGGTGGCTCAGTGGTTAAGAGCACTGGCTGCTCTTTCAGAGGACCTGCACTGGTTTGATTCCCAGCACCTTCATGGCAGTTAACAGCTTTCTGTAATTCCAGTCCCAGAGGATTAGACAACTTTTCCTGGCATCTACAAGCATTGCATCCACCTGCTGCACAGACATTCGTGAAGACAAAACACTTAATACACATATTAATAAAACACTTTTTAAGTTACGGGGGTGGGGGAGTAAGGGGGTGGTGGCACACACCTTCATCTCAGCATTCAGGAGGCAGAGGCAGGCTGATCTCTGTGATCTGGAGACCAGCCTGGTCTACATAGTAAGTTCAAAGTCAGCTAGGATTACATAGTAAGACTCTGTCTCAAAACAAAGACAGGGAGATAGAAATACATTCCTGCAAAATGGATACTCACACTTCTCAACTTTATTTAAAAACAAAACAAAACAAAAAAAAAGTAACACCATTCAGTTCTGCTTAGAACCTTTTTAAATAAGGCAACACACCATCACAGAGCATGAGTTATCAGAAGCTTGGTGTTTATTCTCCTCAAGCATTTAAAGGTACTTTACTATATTACTTACTAGCCATAGCCTTACACAGTAGTTTCACAGGTTGTGAACTGTATAAATATGGCATCATGCCATAACGTCTCTTTCTACATGCACAACTAGCTTTTCAGTTTATTAATATTGACTTTGTGAGTCAGCTGTGTCCAGTTTAGTTATGGTGACCTTAGGCCATTTTCTGGATGGATAGACTATCTTCAGAAATCAATTCAGGCATCCTGCTGTTGGTCTGTAAGCTCCAATCTTAAGGTGTGTTTTTAAAGCTCACTGAGACTTCCTGTTTCCACATGGCAATTCTTTAAATTTTTCACTTCAATCCTTATCCATTTAGGTAGCCAGACTAATTAATGTTGAAGTAATCTATTCCCTTTTCATTATTCTTTCATTTTACTTTCTCTTTATTATTTATTTTATATCATGAATGTTTTGTCTCCGTATCTGTATGTGGATGCCTGGTGCCCTCAGAGGCTAGAAGAGGGCATCAAATCCCCTGGAACAGAGTAATAAGACAGTTGTGAGTTGTCATGTGGGTGCTTGGGAATTGAAACCAGGTCTACAAGAACAACAAACCACTTAGTGGCTTAACCACTGAGCCACCTCTCCAGACCTTCATGTTACCCTTCCTCATGCTTGCACTGTATCCATCTGTTAAAACTTCAGCCACAGAGAAACCGAAATATCTGCTTCCCAGGTAATAGGCCCAAGCATCCCACCACTGCTGCAGAACATTGCAACAGAGCAGAACAGCCGCTGGGTTATTAGAGTATGCAGGGTTTCCCACATCACCTAAAGTGAATCAAGCCTCTGTGGTCTACTTGCTCTTTCATTCATCCCACCTGTGGCTTCTCAAATTTATAGCCCACTTCCTCAACTCAGCAGGCCCCAGACACCAGCTGCTTCCCAACGGATGCTATCAGGCAGGAGTCTTCCAAGCACCTTGGTAACTACAGGACCCTACCATTCTGGGCCATCCTGACTCCATCCCTCCATTATGATGGAGGCGCCTCCTGTCATATTTGTGCTTGGGATCCCATCTCCTCCTCAGAAGACTTCTGGTGACTGTTTCTTCTACCTTGTACATGGATGGCTGCCTTTCCCTTGACCCTGCAAGTTCTTAAAGTTGTCAGTTATTGGTCCTTTATGTTGGTACTAAGTCTGTCCAATAAAACTCAAACCACAGATAAAGTGTACTGTTTATTTTCTCCGTGCTTTCTTATTCTCACCACTTATCTCATTAAAGTGACTCTTCCGAGCTTCCTTCTGGCTGCCACACCCTCTTCCTCTGTGTCAACGCTGTTTCCTGAAGTCCATTCCTGTGTCTGGCTTGATTTTCCACTCCCTTCATTACCCTTGGCCCCCACCACTCCAGCAAGAGAGTGAATGCTCCTCCACCTCTCGCTTTCTCATCCTTGGACGATTCCTCCCTCCTTCCTTCCTTCCTGGACACACATTTCACACTTTCCTTATTAGCTCAGTTGTGACCAAATGATTGACATCTTGCCAAGAAAAAAGGATGTAAAGGCCTGAACTCTCAGAGGCAGTTGAGGTGAACTCCCTACTCATCAATGCTGGAAAAAGGGAGGCGGCCTGAAGTCCTGGGGTGAACTACCAAGGAGAGCCTTCCAACAATCTTCATGCGACTGCAGGGGAGTGTCCTGTTCCACACACCAAGGAGAGCTTCCAACAGTCCTCATGCAACTGCAGGGGAGTGCCTTGTTCCATACAGAAGCCATTCCTACCCCACCACACCTGGGGCTCCCCTTCTCTTGGTAGAAAACCACACTACGGACCTGGAAGGGCTAACTGCCGCTCTTCTCTCCTTATCTTGAACTGTAGTTCTTCTTATTCTCATGCAATTACACTGCCTTGCTTTTGGTTTTATTTGCTTTTCAAGACAGGCTCATACTGTAGCCCTGAGTGCCTCAACCACCCGGCGCAGCCTCCTGAGGACTAAGGCCGTAGGTACACACCACCACGCTTCTCCCAGGCCTACAATGCCAAGCTCCTTCCTGCCACAAGATCTCTGAACAAGTTGCTCCAGCTGTCTAAACTGTTCCTCCCTCCCCCATCACTCGGCCTTACCCTTCATACTTTAGGTCAGCGGTTGATCTCTCTTCACCAGCCCCAGCCCCAATTTAGGGGAAAGGCACCAGGATGTGTTATCTATAATTACGCACTCTCCTGTGTTGTGTCTCTCACAGTCATTATTGCATTTACTAGCATAACAACTTGGTTATTATCTGCCCTTCTCTCTCAGTGGAAGTGTTATGATTTTAAAAACGCTGTGAAGAGAAGTCACACCGTACAACAGGACTCACATAGGGGGTTTATTGGAAGAAGAGAGAGAACGGAACATAGTGAGTGTGCATAGGTGGTGCTCTTAGTGGCTTCAGCTGAGGGAGTATCCTGTCAGAATCCCAAGGACAGGCCAGTGTAGTTGCCTGAATATTAACAGTAAGTTCCTTGGGAGCAAGAACTAAGTCTGTTTATTGCTAACCAATAGGTCGACAATGCTTAGTGCCACTGTACCATTGTGTGAGATAAACACAAAATGTTAGTACTGTGGAGACCTAACACTACTAAAATGCCACTAGTATGCAGTATTTGTAGTCTTCATTTTCAGTGCAAAACATAATTTACCTGTTACATTCAAGTTCTTCAGGCCACCGGATCCCAAAAGTATCCATTAAGGTTCTGCAGTCAGAATACACTTCCTCACATAATTTACGACAAGGTGGGACCACTTGAATCTGCTCTGTGCAGGTTGGTACGAAAGCTTGGCAAAGGAATATTTCAACATTTGGTGAACATTTCAGATTTGCAACAGGCAGAAAGTG